AACACTATTAACAACAATTATTATATGATGCAATCAAACATATAGCAAAATGTGGTAGTTCTGTAAGTTGTTTCAGGGTTGGCATCATCTGAGGTCCTCTGAGGGGTTGGCATCATCTCTTCTCAGCTGTTCGGTTATCTCAGATCTTCGTAAGGGTTGGATCCAGACTGAAGCTTGTGTAAACCCTAGTTACGCAAAAACAGAGAAACAAATAGAGACATAATTAGCGTAGCTGCTGTTCCAACCAAGCAAAATTGATTTGTTTAACCCAAACTAAAGAATAATAATAATGTGCATTTGATCACATATAACTGCAGTACAAGATTATGAGATGCATTATTTGAATGCTTGGCCAAAGAGATGAGTCTTTAATCTAGATTTAAACAGAGAGAGTGTGTCTGAACCCCGAACATTATCAGGAAGGCTATTCCAGAGTTTGGGAGCCAAATGCGAAAAAGCTCTACCTCCTTTAGTGGACTTTGCTATCCTAGGTACTACCAAAAGTCCAGAGTTTTGCGACCTTAGGGAGCGTGATGGATTGTAGCGTGGTAGAAGACTAGTTAGGTACGCAGGAGCTAAACCATTAAGGGCCTTATAGGCAAGTAATAATATTTTGTAACTGATACGGAACTTAATAGGTAGCCAGTGCAGAGACTGTAAAATTGGGGTAATATGATCATATTTTCTTGACCTGGTAAGGACTCTAGCCGCTGCATTTTGGACTACCTGTAGCTTGTTTATTGAAGATGCAGGACAACCACCTAGCAGTGCATTACAATAGTCCAGTCTAGAGGTCATGAATGCATGAACTAGCTTTTCTGCATCAGAAACAGGTAACATATTTCATAACTTGGCAATGTTTCTAAGATGGAAGAATGCTGTTTTTGTAACATGGGAAATATGATTTTCAAAAGACAAGTTGCTATCTAATATAACACCCAGATTTTTGACTGTAGAGGAAGTAACAGTACATCCGTCTAGTTGCAAATTGTAATCCAAGAGATTCTGTGTACTGTCTTTTGGTCCAATAAGTAATATCTCTGTCTTATCCGAATTTAATAGGAGAAAATTATTGGTCATCCAATCTTTTACATTTTTAACACACTCTGTTAGCTTAGATAATTTAGAAGTTTCATCTGGTCTTGTTGAGATATATAGTTGAGTATCATCAGCATAACAGTGGAAACTAATCCCGTATTTTCTAATAGCGTGATGGATTGTAGCGTGGTAAAAGACTAGTAAGGTACGCAGGAGCTAACGCATTAAGGGCCTTATAGGCAAGTAATAATATTTTGTAACTGATACGGAACTTAATAGGTAGCCAGTGCAGAGACTGTAAAATTGGGGTAATATGATCATATTTTCTTGACCTGGTAATTTTATATGAACGTATATGTTGTATAATCACATGAGCAAAATTAATTTAAAAATACAAATATTAATATATATTTAAATATATTTTATGTTTTGAGAATGTATTTTTATTTGCATAGCTAGCTATTTTAATTTTTTGCTGAAACTCCACATGTCTCTGCAGCATCAGGCATTCACATAATACCTAGTTAATTTAAACAGATTATATTTGTAAGTGATCCTATGACCAATCAGGTTTTCCCATACATTTCATTCTGGTCCATGACTGACAATAGACAAAATATGTGAATATTACACAAGTTATCCATAAGTCATAACTTACTAAATTGCTTTTATTGCTACCTGTTGAGCACAGCAGCCTGCTAAATGCCTGAAATGTACTTATAATTGTGAAACCTTGTACAGTCTATTAAGTTCAGGACCAAAGAATAACATGAACAAAGAACTTCGGAAAATTCTAATGAAGCACAAGACTGCAAATCGAATCATCATCCATGTGGGGAAGAATGATATTCGGAAAGAGCAGTCAGAACTCCTTAAGAAGGACTTCATTGAACTCTTTGAAACACTTCGAAGACTTAAAGTTCAGTCGTTCATCAGTGGGCCACTCCCAGCAAGAGGAACTAATATGTTTTCACGTTTGCTTGGGCTGAACACATGGCTACAAAGAATCTGCAGCTTAAAAGGAGTCAATTTCATCGATAACTTCAATCTTTTCTGGGGCCATAGACAACTGTTTAAACTGGATGGCCTCCACCTAAACAAACTTGGTGCAAGAGTGCTAAAGGACAACATCTACTTCTCCATCCGTCATCCTTCAGTAGTGTATGCCAAACTACTCAACCTGAATGGCACACACACACCTGGACAGAGTATGAGTGACCACAGGACTTCATATCAGCTTCCGAGTCATCATGTGGTTGACACATCCCACAAGGACACTGATAACACCACGCAGCCACAACAAGCACTGCTCATGGACACCATCCCGGCTGAGCCCTTCCCACAGAGCTCATCACAGACAGACTGTGACGTATCAGAACAGCTCCAAGACTCAGCACCCAAGGACGACTTTCTGGAAAACAGCCAGGGAAGCCAGGACAACATATCACAGCCACCGGAAACAACAGAGCTAGAGCCCCGCTCACCAGACACATTATTCCTCTCTCCAACATCTCCACTTCTAAGCTTCTCACAGAAAATGGAGGAACTTTTTATTGTTGTGATTATTTTTTTTCTTTTCTTTTATGTAAAGCACTTTGAATTACCATTGTGTATGAAATGTGCTATACAAATAAACTTGCCTTGCCTTGCCTTGCCTTGCCTTGAACGTCATGGGAACTTTAGCAAATTAAAGACTGTTTATATTCACTCTGTACAACAACTGGCTTTTTATTATTTAATTAGAATTCTTAATTGATTTAATCAGCAGAGCAAAAAGAATGGAGTGAAATCCTCAACCTGCACGACATTTAATCTCTGAACCAGTTAACCTTGGAGAGATGTGACAGCAGAGATCAAACTGCAAATGGAATATGTTCATCAGCACATTATTTGCAATTAAAATGCAAAAGGATGCTACAGATTAAAATGCTACAGAAGCAGATTTATAAGGTTGTTGCATTTGAATGCCTCCATTAACATATGTGTAATACAAGAGGAGGTGAATACAAATGAGTTTTAAGAAAACAGGCCCCTTTATAACATTTAACACATGAAAAATCTGATCTAACCATCTGTTGCAGTTAAACCAGTTTAGACAGAGAATCCAATAATGATCTTAGAAGTAAATTGCAAGAGACTGCCTGTTGTTAGAAAGCCATGTACAAAAAAAGGGTTTTTATTTCTCCCTTTAAGAATAATTGGGTAAACCTTATTTTACAGACTACTTAATATTATAATAATATTGTATTCACAGTAATAATGGTTACTGTTTTGATATATATCCTTAGAATGAAAGTCTATACACTTCTTTAAAGTAGCCTACATACAGTTATGATGTTACAGGTGTGTGGCATTTTAGTGACTGTTTTATATGTCATTGATCAAGCTGGGAAAAAAAACAGCCTAAATATTAACATATCAACCTAAGTTATTCAAACTTTTTTGTTACTGTAAAATATACTGATAACAATACAATTGGCACAATGGAAGGACACATGATGACTTGTTGAAAGTTAATCAAAATTCTCTACAGCAATTCAATATGTCTTGAGTCAATACGTCTTGACACATTGAAACAGTTCAAATAGGCCTACTTGCAGACCACAATCTGTTTCAATTATTTATGTTTATCTTGAACATTAGTAACAGGTCTCACAACTTTCAAAATTATTATTATTATTATTGTTTTTTTGGTTTTGGTCTACTGACAGTACAATCCATAGAAAGCACTGTACAGTACTTCCATCCCTCACAGCCTCGTTTTCATTCCTGTCAAAACACAAATATGGCGCTACCCCGAATAAAGTCTATTGTGAATATTTGTACTTATTCTGTATAGCCTATATATATGCATTCTCAATAGGCACATGACAACAGAGTAAAATATTACTGTATTCGGATTTTAAATCGAATTGTACCCAATAATAATAACAAGACTATATATATATATATATATATGATAGGACTTGGCTAATATTAAGACTAAAATAAGGCAATAAGCATAAACTGAATAAAACATAAATTAATACAAATAAAAAGAAACCAACTTTTTTAAATAAATCGGTTACACTTTATTTTAAGGTGTCCTTGTTACAGTGTAATTATACATATAAGTACTGAGTAATATTAACTACATGTACTTATTATATAGGGTTAGGATTTGGGTTTGGCTTAGGGTTACTTACTTGCATGTAATTATGCAAAATTAATTGTTATTAGACTATAATAGTAAGTACATGTAACATGTGTAACACGGACACCTTAAAATAAAGTGTTACCATAACATCTAAACATTCGCATAGTTCGCATATTATTTTTACTGTTATTTTACCGTAAAAGTATAGCGTAGGCTAGATCGTGTCGTGCACTGTACAGTATATGGTAAGCTAAATCACAGTTAACTAACTGAATTTTACTGTAGCGTTTTTAATTGTTTTTGCGTTCAAATGACGATGACGCCGAGGTTTCCTCGTGTGCTGCTGTGTTGAGGAGGGTGTTGTGCAGTTGATGAGTGTGTCTATGGGTGAAGCAGCGCTGGCTGTTGTACAAACAGTGAAGATCTTGGCTTCCGCCACTGGAGACTCTTCAGCACCTGGACAGCTCCGCGAGTCTCTTTAAACCTTCGTTTTTTTTGGTAAAAAGTGCGACTAAAACAACGTGTAGCTTGTTAAAAAGTGCTCTACTATGCTAAACCGTCAAACAACTAAACTTTTACACCAGTAAATCATCGTTATCACCCTGATATGTGAAATACCGTTGACTGCGGCAAACTGTTCCCTACAGGAGTCCATGGTGCCGTCAAGCTCATGCGGGGATGGGAGGAGAACGAGAGTCCTCGTGGATATACCAGCGTATCAACACGGCACTTATTCTGATCTGATAACGGACTGCTAAATAAATGCATTTATTTTCTCGAGTGCAGCATGTCTAGATGTAAATAACTGTCCGCATATTAGTGGAAATGAGTGAAATATTCATGGATTAATCTACAAATCACACATTGCAGCATACAGGTAAGTCTGTCTCTGTTACTGTTCCAGTTGTGCATAAGAGCCATTAACTACTGTACTGTAGAAACTGTTCTAAACAGCCCACATTGAAAATATTTCTGGGGATCGAGTGCAAGATAATCAGTTTTATGATAATCAAATGGGCTCAGAAATGCTTTCAATATAAGTAGGTAGACAGCTTACTATAGGTCTGAAGAGATAAATAAAAGGTAGTTTGGAATTGATTTCAGAATCATTTCTGCTTTAAGAAACTAATGTAAATGAACCAAAAAACTTTCCTTGATGAATCCTGAATGTGTATCAGCTTTTTCATGAAAGCTTTTTGAGGTGAACCAAAGAAAACAGTGTAACTGATATAATTAAGATCTATGTATTTCACACTAATATCTGGCATAAATTAATTAGCTGCTAAACCCTGCAAGAGGTGAAGCTTATGAAGCACATGTAATTTTTTTCTGCTATTAAATATGTGCTTCATGACATGTGAAACTAAACACCCAACAATAATGTCCAATAGACATATGGTCAGTGGGAGAAGTGGCATTTCAAAAAACATCTCCTTTTATTTTCTGTCTCTTTTTGTGAGTTAAAATAAAAATTAATAAGCTATAAAGTCTTATTTCAGGCCACTTTGGTAAATGTCATCCCACTCTGGCAAAAATCAGCCCACTCACACATTAATTTGCCATGAAATCTTAATATTCTCATCACTCCTATCTTAATTAGCTAGCTTCAAGTCATTAGTCATGTGAGTAAGGATATTAATTTAATGACGCAAATTCACAGGCAAAGTTTCGGAGATTATGATGACAATGATCCCTAAAAATCTTGGAATATTTTGATTTTCTGAACAGCATTGAATGAATGTATGATGAATCCACCACGGACAACAACCCATTCCATGTAAAAGAAAACAAGAAAGAAATTTAAAGTCAGGTAGTTGTGTGATTCTGCATTTCTAACAGCATTTTAGTAAGATTTTCATCTTCATGACCTCACTTGTGCTATATCACAAAGAGTTATGACGGTTGACACACTTCTTTGCATATATTTGCATAATGTTTACCTATATTAAGAGGCAGCAGTGCAAATCTGCCATGTTTCCAGTGGGCAGATATCCAGCAATCATTCAATCAATCTGTCATATAAACAGAATGACAGTGAAGCCACCATCTATTATAACAGCTATAAAATGCTAATTCTTAGAGCAGATACATACATAGGCTCATTTGATTAATCAAACAAACAACAACAAAAACTAATATCTTTCATGAAATGGATTTTTAAATGCATATTGATTTCACTAGATGGAAAAATATGAAGTAGGTTTCTCCAGGTCAAGACATTTCTACTCTTTATAGAATATATTTCATGTCAAGCATGAAGAACAATTGCAGTGAAAAGGCAGAGATGTAGTACGACTGGAGCGCTGTGCAATTTGGTGTGGGGGGTGCGGATACAAGGGAGGCTTGGTGCAGCGGTCGTGTTCACTAGGGTTCTCTCTATCTATTACCTCCATGCTGTTTATCTGACTACAGCTATACAAAAGACCATATCACTTTGGGAGTGAAGGGAAATACTGACAACAGCCATTTGTCAGCATGATAGGGCATTTATATCTGAGCCAGAGCTGGAGTGGGAACCCTTAACCATTAAAACATATTTTGTCTTCCAGGCAGTATAATGTTACAAGAATGTAAACTCTTATCTTATCACAATTAGATCACTTATCACAATTAGATTATTTTTTCATTAAAGTTTATTTCACGGAGTGTATCTTTAACCAAGTGGCCCAATAAAATATCAGCAAGAATGATGAACAAGGCAGTTAAGAACATCTGTACTACTGTATGCGTGAATTACTTTATCGTGAATCTCAGTCTGCTGTGCATAATCTCAGTGCAGACCTCTGATCGTTGTCTCAGAGGTTTATATATAGACCTTTAAAAACTTAATCTATCTCCCTGCCACTTAACCTGGTCCCCTATTTGCTAGAGGAGATCCAGAGTGAAAAAAATGCCCGTGGCAAGAGTTTTTTATCTGTAGAAGATGAGCTGGCAGATGGGTGCTATAAATGCAGAGGATATTACACTGCAGAGGAGATGGACGTTTGGGTGAAAACTCGTAAGGGTGACGAATGTTTCTGTGGTGACTGTAATGTAATGGTAATCAGACTTTCTAGGTGATGTGATCTGAATATTCATGTCTTTCTGAATTTTTGAATGCATTATTCAGTAAAGTGCAAGAAGAGATGCCAAGAACAGTTGAGCAAAAATCTAAATTGAAGAATTGGCTCTCTTTCAATTCACTCATTAGTGCGCATCTATCTATCTGTCTGGCCTCTAAACCTTCAAACTTCAAGGTAGCAAAGAAATATGCAGAATTGCAATGTGAATTTAAAGGAAGTAGAATTAAAATAAACCAAAATTGAAAAAAAAAAAAAAAATCAGTGCAATAAGTGCAATTAGTGAAAATGAAAAATCTAGAAAAGGAAGGTTTGTCAAGACAAATCAAACTGTGATTGATTCATTGACAAAACTTGAAAGGTTTTATAGACAAACAAATGTGCTTGAAATGTCACCTACAGAAATGTATACTTAATTTACATTTGTTTGTGGTCCTTTTTTTTGGAAACAAATTAATTTCAATTGTTCTGAATTTGAAACATTCAGAGAATGTATCCTGAGACCATGTGATACTGAAATCACATAGAACATTGTAACAATTATACATTTGTGTAACAGAAAAAGCTTTTATCATGTAATAAAACAAGTCTTTTTTCCCCTTTCACAGGATGTCAGGAAACATGTCTCTTCTGTCAGTGAATCCCACAAGCATTTGGGAAAATTCTTCTGTGCTGAATGCCACCCCTCACTTTTCTTCTGACTGGGAGACACCCACATTCACTGTGGCTGCCCACTTTCGTGTGGTGGCCACCCTGGTGCTCTTTGTCTTTGCAGCTATCAGTAACCTCTCAGTGCTGATCAGTGTGACCAGGGGACGAGGACGCCACCTGGCCTCCCACCTGCGGCCTCTCATTGCCAGCCTGGCTTCCGCTGACCTGGTTATGACTTTTGTGGTGATGCCACTCGACGCTATATGGAATATCACAGTGCAGTGGTATGCCGGCGATGCCATGTGCAAGATCCTCTGCTTCCTCAAGCTTTTTGCCATGCATTCGGCAGCATTTATCCTGGTGGTGGTGAGTCTGGACAGGCACCATGCAATCCTGCACCCGCTGGAAGCTCTGGACGCTGGCCGTAGAAACAGGAGGATGCTGCTAGTTGCCTGGATCCTCAGCATCCTGCTCGCCTCTCCACAGGTAAATGAAAGAGACGTTATTTTAATTGGAGTTGTCATCTGTGGGACTTGTCTTGTTATGAAACAGCACAAAACTGCCTCAGAGGGTTTATAGATGGATGATAATGTTGGTGTTTGGAAACACTTGTTGAAGGTGATGCGTGTCTTTTTCAAAATACTGTATCCTATTCCAAGCTTAATATGAGGAGACAACTATAAACAGATCAGCACACTAATTTGATTGCACTCGTAGCTACAAAGTTTTTCACGACTTTGTTTACTCGTTTTACTTTCTTTTTACATTTATATTTTCCCCAAAAACATTGCAGATAGAAAAGTGTTCTGGAAACTTGTTTGAAAACAGTTGTGCAATTTCATTTGATGACGCTAGTGGTGCAAAAATGACACATTTCACCTCTGAGGAAGAAAAGTGGCACACAGCAAAACTGAGTTTAGTTTCAAAGTTTCAAATTTAATTAAATTCGACTTTCAGTCTACAACACGCATTTCCTGATAGCCATCTAAGCTTCAGCATTTCTTTTAAGTAATTAGTTGTGGCTTAAAGTTGTGCAATAACTGACCCTGGATCAGTGACTCTTCAGTGAGCGCTTGCTGCATTGATTATAGATCCTATTTGTCAAGCTACACTAGTCCCGGGGTATTTTCTGTAACCTCTGAAATGCCTGGCTGAATCTTGTCAGTGTGACTTGCCTATCTTTCCCTCTGATAGAACTGTTTCTCTCCACACGCTTAATTCCAGTTTTGTCATTTATAGCAGCCTGTGGATGTGACCATGGCTTTTAAAATCATTAAAAGAGAGATAAAGAAGCCTGTCTGAGACAAGGTCAGTTAGGCAGCCATGGATAATGGGAAAGAGATACAATTCTGAGTGGGTGGTGAATTTTATATATATCAATATATCTATACCTCCCTGCACTTGTATTCTGTGCACGCACCTCCCCCAGAGGAAGGTTTTCCTCTGTCAGACTGAGTGCTAACTGATCAATTGTGTAGCAGAATATAGAGAAGTATATGTCAAATGGATTTTTTTTATTTTTTTATTTTATCTGAAAGCACAAAGTGATAACATGATTCAGGTTCAACAGAGATAGCAAAATGTGCTTTTTCCCCACCTCATGGTTCATTTTACATCCTGCAGTAACGCAAAAATAGATTTGTAAATTAAACACCCATAACAGAGCATCAGCCACACTGAGGAGCGTTTTGTCATCACAATGCAAGTATTCATGACATGAAAACCTTTTGGCTTGCTGTTACTATTTGCAGTCTTTGAGGCTTTACATTTCACGTGGTGTAGTTATTTGCAGAAGATGTGTGAATATTTGTATGCAAAACAGTCACAAAAAGCTAATCAGTGGATTACAAATTAATCAAAGGGTTAGTCCACCCCCAAAAATTAAAATAATTTACTCACCCTCATGTCATTCTAACCCTGTAGGACTTTCTTTCTTCAGTTGAACATAAAAGGTGAAATTTTGTGCTGGTTGCTGTTTTTCCAAGCAATTACAATGAATGAAGACTGGAGCTTTCAAGTTTCTTTAAAAGGACACAAAAACACCATAAGAATATTTAAAAAGTGTTCTTAATGCCATACAATATAGCTTTGCATGAGAAACTAACAATTTCTCCTTTGTGTTCTGTAGGAGAAATAGGTCAAATGATAGAAAAAAAACTGTTTATTACTTTTCTTTATAAATTGCTTTTTATCGTTTCAGTTATTTATTTTCAGGGCAATTAAGGCTGAAGGAGTTGACTTTGTACAGTGTGTAACTCATGGAAGCTTCCAGCAGCGCTGGCAGGAAACAGCCTACAACATGTTCCACTTTGTCACCCTGTATGTGTTCCCTCTACTGGTAATGAGCTTCTGCTATACGCGAATCCTCGTGGAAATCAACCGCCAGATGCCTCGTGGTAAAGGGAAGGGTAATTGACTTTTGATCTCTTCTGACATGGTACCTGTCATTGATAAACAGTGTGGCCGCATCCAGATTTCCATAGTGTACTGAATTTGATGAAGAATTTACTTCTCAACAGTTGATGATACAGGTTCTAGGGCTGCCTTGAATTTGGACTTTTAATGTGTTCTTTTTGATAAAACAAAGTCTCAACACATAATATCTGCTTACTCTTTATTGTCATGGTCTCCCAACAGACATTCTACTAACTATAAGTAACTTTGCAAGTACATGTGAACTTATTCTAACCCTAACCCTACCAGTCTACTAATACTCTAATAATACTCTAATGAGAGTTAGTAGACATGTAGATGCAACGTTACTTATAGTCAACAGAATGTGTTAAAGGGACCATCAAAATAAAGTGAAACCAAAACAGTTTCTGGGTTAAAATGATAAAGCATGACACACAGCACCATTCTCTAGTCTTCTTCTAACTTGTGTTGGGTTTTATAGGTGGGGAACCTTGTCTGAGACGCAGTGGAACCAACATGATTCCCAAAGCACGCATGAAGACCCTGAAGATGACGATCATCATTGTGGCATCATTTGTGGTGTGCTGGACACCGTACTACCTGCTCGGCATCTGGTACTGGTTCCAGCCTCGTATGCTGCAGTTGATGCCAGAATACATCCATCACGCTCTCTTCGTCTTCGGCAACCTCAACACATGCTGCGATCCGGTCATCTATGGTTTCTTCACACCCTCGTTCCGAGCGGACATAGCCAGCTGCTTCTCCAGAAGGAATCAAAACTCTTCTCCTAAATCACTGGACCGACTCTCCGCAAGGAGAGGGGGCGCAAGCAGAGAAGCCGAGTCGGACCTTGGAAGCGGTGACCAGCCCAGTGGACAACAAGCATAGAGGGTCAAGACACCTCAATGAGCTAGAAATACTATTTGGGGTGTGGATTTAGCCCTGTAAACATGAAATACAGGACTTTCACTCTGTGTCCAGACATCTACATGTATATGTTGCAGGTGGTGTCTTGGTATTTATAGTATGAACAAGTATCCATTTGCTTGAATTCGGTTTGAATCCACTTGAACATGGAACAGCAACAGTATCACATTGTGGTTTCAAGCTTGGATATCTTCTGGAAAGACGGAACTACAGGTAAATATGAATGTAAAGGACCAAATGACAGCACAATGCTTCAGGCAATACCTTGAACATGAGATGTTTGCCTGTCTGGAACAGGGTTATAAATATACAGTGCCTCATATAACAGGTTACGTGTTTGGAATCAGTTAATGAGGACCTCTAATTAATTATCTCAGAGTTCAGATGGACAACCCCAGCTAAAAGCTTCTCTGACACGTTGCTTATCTAACATTTCCTCTCTGCATCCTGATTAGGAATGTCCTTAGCACATGAATCATTCATTTAAATGAAATGCTGTTGTGAGTGTTCAGGCTTTCACACTGTTTATCTGTGGAATCACCATAGATGTTCTTCGCGGAATTCATCCAGTCGTGTTTTCAGTGTATTGTTTTGATGATGATATGCCATCTTTGTGGTGTGTGCTTGTGATTAAAAATGAATGTGGATGGACAATCCAGCCTTAAAGGGATAGTTCACATAAAAAATAAAAATGTTATTTACTTATCCATATTGTTCATATACATTCATATGCTGTTACTCTTTCTGAGAAAAAAATATAATTTGTTAAAAAAGAGTGACGTTTAAAAGGGCTCAGTCTTCAGATGTTGTGGGGATGGCTCACAATTCATTTTAGGTTATCAAAACGAAATGAATATTGTGAAATAACACAAATGGAAATATATATTTAATGATTATGCAATCACCAAAAAATACATTAAACTATCTTGTATTTTAGCTCCTTTAAAGTTGCCACTCTGTCTACAGCTCTACCCATCTGGGCATTGTCTTCATGAATGAGCAACTTATTCAGTATAAACAGGTCTGCTATTTTTAAGCAGTTTTAAAATGTTGACACTTAGAAGTGACTGCCAGGGGAGATGCATCAATTTCAAACATTATTTGACACAAAAAAGGTCCAAATGGATGCAGTGCAATGGTGCTGTTTTTAGGTGTGCACATAAATCAGTGTGACTTGTGTTGCAGTGTGTGAGATATGTTCTCTCTGCTGACAGCTCTGACTGGTGGCTCTGCAGCCTAATCGTATCACTACAGTGATCCCAGCCTTATCTCTGCACAAGAGTCCTTCACACTATTGTCTCTGTGAGAATGAGAGCACACATCAGTACATGCGCAATGCTCACATGTCACAGCTTTTGTGCCTGCCATGACCCATTGTTAGACAAACACAGATTGCATGTGTTCCTCAGAATGATTAGACAGTGTTTAATTGACTTTTAGAGCTGAGCAAAACGAAACCGGCCACTCCAACACGTACAATCGTCTGCCCACACAGGCCGTTTCTTAAAGTGCACTTAATGAAAGTGATGAAAAGTACACTTGATACAGGACACAGCCTCATCCAACAACATGATAACATTCTTATGTTATAAAGACTTTATGTGCTACTTATGGCAATATATCTCTGGCTAATTACTGTAGATAATTTGTTAAAGCATATAGAATATGTTAAACATCACCAGCTGTGACATTGCAGTAATTTATATTTAAAGTACAGCTACTTTAATGTGAGCCAGTGGGAGGCTTTACATACAGCATTTTTATAATTATTATTATAATAATATTTATTATGCTTATTAGCCTTCAGCATAAAGTTATAATTGCACCGGTAACATTACAGATTAACCAATTATTGCTAGTAGATTACATAAAATGGCCTGAAATGTGAATATGCTTTTTCAAGAACGATAAACCATCTCTGCGCTCAAAGACGACATTCTGCAGCCTATCATGACCATGCTATATGGTAATTTTTCATGCCATAATGATCACACACGCCAAAAAAAAAAAGAAATAGCTGATGATGAGGTGCGAGAAACCTTTATTAGTAACAAATGTGTATTTAATTGATAACTGAAAAGTATTGATAAAAAAAAATGTCAAGAGTCGTTTTAAAAATACAATATAGAGGGTCATTTTTTGTGTGCATTATCTAGTTGTATTTGTATTTGATAAAGTGACTCATGGGCTCATGAGATCTGCTTGCATTCTTAATCCTTCAGGGTTTTACCTTAAAGGGGTCATATGATGCGATTTTATCCAATTTCTAATACCCGTAGAAAGAGTTCTCATGAGTAATTTAATGAATTGTTTGTTATTGGTAGCTTTATTTTTAATCACTCTGGTTTTAAAGAACGTTATTCTCATTTTCCGTGAAATTAAAATATCGACTACCATGTAGATCAGTTTAATTAAAGCTGTAGCTGTCATAAGCTGTCAGGTGCGGCTTTGCCAAAGCTATGATGAAAATTAAACGCTATTGGCTAATAAAAATGGACAAGCTCTCAAGGTCCTCATGTTTTCAGTCACATCTGCGTCTGGGGTGAAGATCAATAAAACCTTCAATGGAACACTCCAAATTCTGATTCTTATCCAAAAGTTTTCCAATATCCAGATAATAAACCCTTGAAAGGACTGACTATGCCATTATCTGATTTCAGTAAGCTGCAAGAGATTCACATACTAACATATTTCTCTCAAGCCAAAAATAGCACTCTTCCCTCAAGATATGTGCTAAATTCAGTTTGCTTGAGGAAAGACCTAGACAGCACCACAATAAGCTGCAGCCTCTATTAATAATTCATTGAAGTCTCTGAAAATCCCTATCTGTGGCCTAAAATGCATCAATCTGAGGACTGGAGGTCTCTTAAAATCAGATGGCAACATTCAAATTAAGTTTTACATTTGAATCGATTCTCATGCATATTTATTCAAACATGATAGGAGGCAAGTAGCGATTAATGGTTAAAGATCTAAGCTAATAGAATATTTGCAGGCTCAGTCCCACTCGCAATCACAATACTGCTTTATTACCATTGTGCCTTTGAGCAAGGCATTAAAGCCCCAGAGGATCATCCCAGTAAATAGAGTACAAGATGCTTCAGATGAAATGGATTCCTTTTACCTAAGACTTGTTAGGTAAAAATGAAGGAGCAACATAAAGCAGTGAAATTTAAAAGAAATTGCATAAAGAAATGAAAGTCTGTTAGGTGTTTTTCACTGTGACATAATTTTCAACAATTTTACCACACCAGTTCTCATTAATGCACAATTTGTACTTTTCATTACTGCAAATTTGGAATAATTATCGATTAATAAATCAAATAAATGATCAAAATAAATAATCAAATTAAAAATTAAAATTAAACTATTCTAATAATAAAAAATATTAAAATTAAAGGCATTATTACTGTAATATGGTTAAAAATAGACTGTACTGAAATAAAAAGAAGCATAATTAAAAAATGAGAAAGACAATGCCAAATGCATTACAGTAGGTATGGGTAAAATACATTTTACTGCATAATGCAAACAAATTCTATGGGTCCCAACAAAATACTAGGCTACTGTATATATTAACTGTAAAATGTCTTGCTAATTTGTTTCTCTTGGTTTTGGTGTGAAATGTGATTTTTATTGACAGGTTTTGTGAGGAAAACATCTGAAAACATCTGTTCAGCGCCATATTGTAAGACATAATACTGTCAAATCCAAGCAAAACTTTGGGCGCTGTACATGCAGCAGCACTGTCTGGTTCTGTAAGTTACACATGTGTGCAGCACTGTTTTAATTGTGTTAGACTCCATATGAGATTCCATTTCAAGGTGAGAAAAAATAATGAAGAAAAAGTGGGAAAACTGGAAGTTTCTTCCTAACAGTACTTGCTCAAAGATGAGTCATTCCCTCATAGACCCCACACAACCAATTGTTACTGACAGTGAACAAAATTCACTGCTTACTGTGATGCTGACTTGTGCGTCAACGGTGTGTGAAGATCATCCAATCATGCAATGAATGATCACTGAATGGCCTTAGTGTGAGTGCTCGCACGTTTATTGGGATATGAGATGCCATTCCCAGCGGCACCTGCCCTTCTCACTTCTCTTCCTGCAATGCGCCATTTATCGCCCCTCTTCTATAAATCTGTCTCAATAACTCTAGAGATGACACTACTGTTCACGATAACAGCTCTAACACAAGCAACAAAGCCTCAAAGAACAATTTACTTTGACAGATCATCTCTCCATTTTAATGAGGCGCAAAAGTCATCATCCAATTTTGTGAGCAGATGTGAAGCAGATTTTTGAAGAAAAAAACATCTTGCAGTGAAACCAAAGCCCTATTTGTACAAAATGAACTTCAGTATGTTTATTTTTATAGCCGCATAACTTGTGTTTTTGTAAAGTACAGTGAGACCTAAGCCTAAGAACTAAAGTTTGAGCTATCAAGAGAATAAAGAGAGAAACCATGGGTAATACAGTTTGCATATACACTATCGTTCAAAGGTTTGTGGTCAGTAAGATTTTTAAATGAAAGAAATTAAAACTTGTATTCAGAAAGGATATATTAAATTGATCAAAAGTGACAGTTAAAGACATTTATATTATTACAAATTAGGGTTGCAAAGGGGCGGACATTTCCAGAAACTTTCCATGGGAACTTCGTCTGGGGAATTTTGGAAATATTCCAAGTTTGAAACTTATAAAACTTTGAAATTTATAAAACTATCATATACAAACATAAATATAAACATTTTGTTTGATCATAGGCTCACATGCATGCAAACTAATACAAATTTTAAAAATGACATTTTTGGATTTTTGGGGGGAATCTGTGATGCTTTTTTCAGGATTCATTGATGAATGAAAAATTGTGAACAGTGTTTATTCAAAATAAAAATCTTTTCTAACAATATAAGTCTTTACTATAACTTTTTATTCATTTAACACATCCTTGTTGAATAAAAGTATTCATTTCAAAAAAGGAGAAAAGATATTGACCCCAAACTTTTGAATTGTAGTGTATTGTTAAAAAAGGATTTCTATTTTAAATAAACGCTGTTATTTTTTAATTCTTTATTCATCAAAGAATCCTGAAAAAAGAATCACAGGTAATAAAATATATATATATATTAAACAGCACAACTGTTTCCAAAATTGATTATAAATAAGCATATTAGAATGATTTCTGAAGAATCATGTGACACTGAAGACTGGAGTAATGATGTTCAAAATTCAGCTTTGCATCACAGAAAAAACCTTATATTTTAAAGTATATTAAAACAGAAAACCATTATTTTAAATTGTAATACTGCGCAATATTAACGTTTTGTTCTGTATTTTTGACCAAATAAATGAAGGCTTGATGAGAAAAAGATATGCAATGTTTAAAACATTAAAAGAGTAATGTTTCCAAACTTTTGACCAGTACTGTACTTCTGTATGATAACAGAAAA